AAGCAGTGGTATCAACGCAGAGTACTGCCTTAATCGTTCAGACTGTCGCATCAAAGGCGAGTTTTCACCCGTTGAACGTTCATGTTTATGGTCTTTAGCCTAGAAATGGTACATATGGCTAGTTAAGGCAACAGTGAAAAAATAAAAGTTTGTTTTATTTTATTTTATTCTATTTTATTCAATACGCTCTTGGCGTTTCTTGCAAACGAACAAAAACACAAGCTATAAATAACTAACCACAAGAATAGATCATCATGTAGTTCAGGTCAATTCTATTAGGTTGTCAAGAAAATAATGTCGGTTTTTATTTGCTTGCTTTGACAAAGCAACCAGACTCAACCCAACAAGGGGTAAGGGGTACTGTTCGATAGAGCAAAGCAAGCTCTACAAGACGGCACTCATGTCTTTGCGCATGCTCGATCCACGGAGACCTCGAACTCAAAATCTAAAGATTTCTAAATGCCCAAAAATCGGAAATAATCAGATCTTCGTCCAAATAATTTCTATGGACCTCTAACTCGCATAGGTCAATACTTCCAATATCTGATATCCATATGTGCAGTTGCTGTATTTTTTCCTAAAATAGAAACTGAGAAAACGAAAATTTTCTTGATATTCTCAAAGCAGTGCTGAGCCCCTCTTGCATATGTAGTTCTATACTACAAGCCTAGGTAAACATAGCTGTAGATTTTCAGCCTATTTCAAGCGGTACTTTTCGAGAAATGTCGATTTTAAGCACTGAAACTGAAAGAAAAAAATTTGAATTCGACATTTCTCGAAAAGTACCGCTCGAAATAGGCTGAAAATCTACAGCTATGTTTACCTAGGCTTGTAGTATAGAACTACGTATGCAAGAGGGGCTCAGCACTGCTTTGAGAATATCAAGAAAATTTTCGTTTCTCAGTTTCTAGTTTAGGAAAAAATACAGCAACTGCACATATGGATATCAGATATTGGAAGTATTGACCTATGCGAGTTAGAGGTCCGTAGAAGTTATTTGGACGAAAATCTGATTTTTTCCGATTTCTTGGGCATCTAGAAATCTTTAGATTTTGAGTTAGAGGTCTCCGTGGATCGAGCATGGCGCAAAGACATGAGTGCCATCTTGTAGAGCTTGCTTTGCTCTATCGAACAGTAGCCCTTACCCTTTGTTGGGTTGAGTCTGGTTGCTTTGTTAAGGCAAGCAAATAAAAACCGACATTATTTTCTTGACAGCCTAAAATTTGTTAAATGACTACGCTAACGATGTAACCTGACTATATTGCTTCGGGTATGCTCCTTTTCGAGTTTCGCCTTCATTGGCATTAGCCCAGTTAGCTGCGATTCGCAGTCGTTCCTTCTTACATGGGAAGGATACCAGGTCGCAGTGACGAACCGGAATGAAATGCCTACCATTAACGCGCCTTGGTGAGTTGATCCCAAATCTACCTTCCCTTGCTAACCTTCCTTAGAAGAAGTTATGGGTGGTAAGGTGTGAAGTTATTGAGGTTTTGTGCGTAATTTGCTTTGTGAATCGGCTTAGGGGTGATTGATTGGCATGGATTAGAGTGCATTCACTACAAGGGAATACATACATACACCGAACATGTAAATAAATGTTTAATACAACAGGTAATTTTCGAAGATGTGGCACTGAATATTTGTTAAATCTGGCCATTCAAACGCTCACAGCTTCTTCTAGAGAAGAGCTCAGCAGATATAAGAGTTAGATTTAGAATCAGCTCTTCAACACGTATCTAATGATACAGGGCTCCTAAATTGCAGAGTCGTTTGCCAGCGGTCGCGCGACCGCTGGCAAACAACTCTGCAATTTAGGAGGCCTGTATGCTATCACTTCGATTTGTCACTGCGACGTAAATTGTCCTTCTCTTGGATTATTACTTCCTTCTTCAACCTTTCGTGTCTTGAAATTGCTATGCTCCTTACTTGTGGAAAGATAATTAAACCAATAATCAGGCCTTGATTTGTGTTATCACAATTCGTGAGTCGAAATTTCGCGAAAAAATGAGGGGACTCATGGAGAGTCTTCTGGCAGTTCTAAGTTCATCGATGCTTCAATGTGGATCCTGCATAATGGTGACACATCTGATTCGTAAAAGATACTATCATGCTATAATCGTGTTCAACAACGATAATTTGAGGTTATACACACCTTCAGTGTCTCAGCCAACGTTTAAATAGAAGTAAATTCTAGGCGATAACAAAGATTGCCAACGAAACTTCTTCGACGTGAATATGCGATGAAGAGATCAATCCTTGGATTTCGCTTGAAAGACCAGAAAACGTTAAATTGGATCCGTTCCGAAGCTCACGTAGATGCAATAAGTGCTGGACGTAATTATAAAGGCACTCTAGGAATTGTCGTACTTGCATTCTTGTTGATGAAACTGTTTGAAACTTTGCTGTATAGTGCGCATGTTAGCCTACCATGACCGCTGAAAACGGCTTCCGATTTTGTTGAATTCGAACGGAGAAAATGGATATATTCGAAAAACCCCCCGCCGAAAGTTGGACAAAATTATAAAGACACCTGGTTTCTTTATTGAACTCTATCACATCCTCTGACTCTAATTTTTTTGTACAGTTACATACCACAATATGAAGCATTTGCAATATCTGCGACCTGTCAAGCTTTCCAAAGAGAAACACTACATCTTTTGCCTCCAAAAGCAATAAAAGTCAATCTGCTTCAACAAACGGCTGGTTGCAGAGGTTTGCAAGCTCTTCTTCACTTCATATGATAGTCATGGAATCCACTGAGCCTTTTCGATAAAAAAGTTGAAGAGCGCTTTCGTAATCTCTGCGTGATCTCTGATAAGGACGGACAGACTCCAACCTCAACAAAAACATGTCAGGCATCTAAAACACAAAACTCAGTGTGTAATGTTCATAAAGCGCTAGCCTTGAATTATTACACTGCCTATATGGTGATGCAGCTTTTGCAACAACTTTCAGATTTATCCTAATGATGCGGTCACAATTCGGACTTGAAATACTTTCCACGAAAATTCTATGCGAGCATTGGATTCGATATAATTATGAATCTCACTATTTTCCTCTGTTTCATGTCAAATTCTACCCAAAGCATGAGATTAGTTAAGATTTTGAAGTTATGCGCGGTCTCCTGTTCTATCTCGTGATCTGAGTTGGTTATGATTATGCAGCCCAGACATTCGTTGGTGACGACCGCGAGAGCCGTCCACTTTCGTTTTGTTTAGGGACAAAATTTTGTCCTGACGTTGACCCGTTTTCACCGGGATATTGGTCGGGATTGTTCCGATATGTATCGAGACAAAATCTTTTAAGCGATTGGATTTGCGAATTGTTCGGGTTTAACCGGACGTCTGCTTGACAAGTACCAGCAGGAATCGGAGAGAAGCTTTCGTTCTGAGGTCACGCTCATTTTCATTTTACCATCGACTACTCAGACAATCGCTGGGGGCAGGCGGGCACCGGAAAAATAGATTGCTGATTTCTCGCATCCCGCTCGCGGATTTTTTGCAAAGCAATCAGGACTTTTCGGAAGACCGCTTGCTGAGTCAGCGGATTTTTGAGAGACCGCCTGTCGAATTTTTTTCGCTCTTATTTTTTGCAGATATATTGCTATCTCTGAGGAATCGAGAACTCAGCAAGCGGTCTTCCGAAAAGTCCTGATTGCTTTCCAAAAAATCCGCGAGCGGGGTGCGAGAGATCAGCAATCTATTTTTCCCGTGCCCGCCTGCCCCCGGCGATTGTCTGAGTAGCGGCAGCCGGCTCCACTGTCTTATTCGTATGGTGTAATTTATGTACGTCTTTCGTCGTTTATCGGTTTTGATGTCATGATGTTCCCTTCTAGTATCTTCTATCAATTTTTACCTAACGCTTCACAGAATTTCTATTTTTTTTTTCGTAGTAAGAAAATCTGTACCTATTAGGTCAGGAACAGTATTCAAGAGCTCGTATGAACGTCATCCTTGGCCAAATTTCGACCAAGTGGAAGATGTTAATTGTTGAACAGAGCAAGAAATAGCAAAGGTATTGTCTTTCAAAACTTTCAACTAGCACACCACCTGTTCCTATTGTTCAGATGAAGATTTGGACGAGGAGAAAGAGGGCTTTAGCCAGAAACTTTTGATCGACCGATTAGTTCTGAAGGATCTGCGTAACGAAGCGCAAAAATTGCTTATTTGGAAGAAACTTACTAGTGTGAGCTATAACAATTTGTTTAGGTATTCAGAACGTCTCGATTATGATATCATTACTTGCGCGTAGTGTGTCTGTGCTTCAGTGTCATCTACAACGTTTTGCTATTATAGACACTCTAGATAAGGTTTATGATATTATAGTTCCTTCAGATTGCGTCAGAAGGTCTTATCAAACTGATAACAATCCTGAAACGGAATAGCGCAGTGTTGTCAGCTCGGGTGAAACCCGCCTGCTTGTTCCCGTCATTACAGAAGAGGTATATCATGGTGTTTTCAGTTCACTTTAGTACACGCAACCTGCTTTGCAGGAAGGAGAAGCGGATGACCAAGACCTCAAGGAACTCATTGACGAACGGCTGATAAGTGGGGCAGACGCGGCGTGCACCATGATGATGATCATGACGCCATAAGATGCCAAAGTAGGCACTGTTTTTCCGAATCACTCGCAATAGCACATGGAAGACGCTATCGAGCGATCTATCAGTCTTTGTCGGCATTACTTGAAGGCAGTGTCCACGCTAATTTGAGCATACTGGTTTTTATGCCTGGAAATTGATGAGGAGGTTTTAGCTAAGGCACTCCCAAACCACAGCGCAAATTGTCTATTCAAGGTTGAGAAATTCGTTCCCAAACACTCCGCGGCTGCGCCATGACTGTAACGCTTAGGATGGGTCCCAGTGCGAACGTATTGTTAAAATTAGCGAAGTCGTTTTCGGTCTACGGTCAAGGCGCAGGCTCGGGGTTTTCGGGGATGGATTTCTCAGCCGTGAATGAACAATTTGCGCTGCCCCTTGGACGGTGCCTTAGTGCTCAGATAATCTCCGGGGCAGGCGGCCATGCGATTTATGGGCGGGCGACACCGGAAAAATAACTCGCTGCTTTCTTGCGGTTCGCTTGCAAATATGTGGAAGAATTTTAGCGAAATTTTAGAAGAATTTTGGAGAATCGCAGTTTCCTTATAGATTAGCTGCGGCGCAGTGGCCGTATTCTCGCGGACTTTCCGCAAGAATATGCAAAATTTTCGAGGGCCGCACGGTCCTTTGTGGCGGACCGCGCAGCCCCCAGGTACTTTCCGCTGAGAGAAAGTACCTCAAACTGGAGTAATCAAACCAACGGTGACACCTCTGTCATATAGAGTCTTACCTTTGCTTGCGTACTCCCGAAACTGCGTAAAAAGGGTCCGAGCGCTCGCTGGATTTATGGCCAGCGCTCCCTGAAAGAAATTATTTGACGAGGTCCGCAGAAAACTTTGTATTGCGATCCGCTGGCAGAACATGCGACAGTGAAGGAAGTACGGTTTGGCCAAAATTCTGCTGGCCGCGAGTGTTGTTTTTCCCGCTTCGGATCCTATGTATAGGCCCGGTAAAAAATTTCAAGATACGTAAATTTTATGGAACAGGCAGTATTGGATGAGAGACTATTAATGCACATGCATTGACACTTTTTCGTAAAGACTGTTCTGGGAGGGTTCTTGCGTGTTGTTGCACTTTAAACTTGTAGACGTTTTGGTGTTTAACCTGTCATAAGCTTTTATCCCTCTTTCAGTGTTGGTGCAAAATGTCTATCTGACAAGGGAAGTTCGCCGAGTCGAAATGGCCGATTGATACGTGGTATATACCCGGACGCGGGGCTCGGAAGGTTAGTCTCAAGTGTGCGCCCATTAGGTGCGGCGCGTCATTGTGAAGCAAGTTACGGCCCTCTGAAGTTTTTGGCGTGTGCATGTCTAGAGTACGCACAAATGCTCCGACTGTGGTCATGTGGTGTAGTGGTTAGCGTCTCGGACTCACAGGTGACCGGTGAGGGTTCGAATCCTGTTGCTGTCCACATGTTTTGCGTTCTTCTCAAAAATCATTTTTTACCTGTTTTATGTATTATTGAGGTAAAAAATGACACACACGGGTTACGGGATGATTTTTCTCACGAAAATTCGACCAGTGCTTCATATGTAAGATTCTGTAGAACATAGCAACGACTTTTTAGCGATGGCTTTTCAATTGACTTTGAAGATTTGCCAAATCCTCACTCCTACATACTTTCTTCGATTGCACGTAGTATTTATGTGACAATCTCCAAGTTGTATCACGTCGTACTATTGATTCTTGCTAATGGGCTACCTTGTGAGAATGACACGGCAGGATGTATAATTAGTAGAGTTTAACCACCCGTATGTGTCAATTTTACGTCAGTAATGCATAAAACAGGTAAAAAATGATTTTTGAGAAGAACGCAAAACATGTGGACAGCAACAGGATTCGAACCCTCACCGGTCACCTGCGAGTCCGAGAGGCTAACCACTACACCACACGACCACAACCGCAGCATTTGCTGCGTTCTCTAGACATGCACACGCCAAAGACTTCAGAGGGCCATAACTTGCTTCACAATAACGCGTCGCAGCTAATGGGCGCACATCTGATACTAAGCTCCCGAGCCCCGTGTCCGGGTGTATACCACGTATCAAACGGCCATTTCGATTCGGCGAACTTCCCTTGTGAGTATTTTGATTTCAGCCAATGATGAACGGCGGAAAAAGGTGGAGCAAGTGCAAAGATCACCCAGGGTGCTCATGCCTCCCACTTGAGTTCATCTCCATTTTTCAGACTTGTAAACTTGTTCTTTTAAATTTCAGAAAAAAAAACGAGTAATTACGGCCCAAGAAGGCAAGACAATCGAAATAACCGAATTCCGGGACTTAATGTGAAAGAAGGCATAATTTTGTTGTTGCGGTCCTGTTGTTGAGAGTTTTATTACCTTTTGTTTCGGTTTGTGGACAAATTAACCTGTGGATGAATGAATTTGTGTCGATTCAGTCTCTGTTGTTTGCTCAGTATATAATGTATCCCAGAAATTTCAACGGTACTGAAGAGTGCTCTACGGCTAAATCCACGCCCAATGGTCGCTTTGCGACTCCTGCATTCACCCGGCATCTCAACTGCGTTCGACCGGTAAATGTGCTGCACGTCCCGAAGCAAACGCAGGTGACAATTGTTCGACCGGCGTTTTTCTAGCAGTTATGTCCCAAACCTATGTCCCGATTGTCCCATCGTAACGGAGGGGTTGCGCATCTTTTAATGAGTATAACTCCGTTTTATCTGCGATCGTCAACGGCGAATGTCTGAGAGGGTACTCTACTCAACATTCAAAGGAAACAACTGCGGGTGAAGCATAATGCCAACTTTGAAATGCTTTCCTGGCTATGCACACAAGTTTGCTGTTGTACTGCCGACGTAGTGGCTACATTGCAGTATTTTCTGCTGCTTGAAAATTGAGTTCTGTAATTTGGAAGCGTGACAAACTTGTGTTGAAATTGGAGTCTGTCCGTCAATATCAGCCATTACGCAGAGTTTAGTAAAGCACTCTTCAACTCATTTAACGAACAGGCTCAATGGATTCTATGACTATTATTCAAAGTGAACAAGAGCTTCAAAACTCCTCAAACCAGCCATTTGTTATAGCAGTTTGACTTTTGGCTATATGGCCCCATGGTGAGAAATCAGCGCACCGAACAACCCCCTGGTCCAAGATTTCACAAAATTCCAATTTTATAAATCGCAGGGCATCATGAACCCCATCATGCCTGCACTACAAGCAAATGTGCTCCGGAGGACTTGTGCACTATTTCACTTTCTCTGACCAAACAGGGTTATCTTTGAGTTCCACGATAGACTGGAACGCGCACCAAACTCAGAGTTATCGCAGAGCTGAGCTGCGCGTTTGGTGGCGCTGTTTTATGTGCAGAATGATTTAGATCATGTTGCGCTACTAGAACTTAACTACCGGTATCCTGCCATATTATCGTTTCCCAGATTTGTCTGCCCAAGCATCTGTTAAGGGGCTCAAAATGTAACGTGTTACCACAGAGGTAACTCAGAGTTAACACTGAGTTATAACTCTGAGTTTTGGCATGTTTACTACCGACCAGGGGCGGTATGCATCAATCTCCCGTCTTGAAAGCGGGCGATCATTTTCAATAGAGAATGAGCGCCGGCCGTGTTGAGCACCCGACCCGTGATGTATGATTTCTATTGAAAATGATCGCCCGCTATCAAAACGGGAGATTGATGCATACCACCCCAGGTGTCATTATCATTGTCCAACTTTAAGTAGGGGCTTTTTCGAATTTCCATATGTCCGTTTGAACTCAACATAATTGGAAGTCGTTAATCATGGTAGGCCAACGTGCACACTATACAGCAAAGTTTCGGACAGTTTTGTCAACAAGAACGCAAATTACGATAGTTTCTAGAGTGTCTTTATAATTATGTCCAGCGCTGTTGTGCAGAAAGATAGTGGTGATATGCATATAGAGAAAGAAAGTGGTGATGTGCAAGATAATTTTAGTGGTCCAAAGAGAAGAAAAATGGACAAGAACTTTTACGAGTTGGATACCAGCCACTAGTCGTTATTTCGGACGGCAGACCTAGGAAAGGTAAGATCACGACTTTCACGCACATTGTATTACCCGCAAAGAACTTTCGTAATGGGGAAAAAGGATTGAACGACTTCGGTTGAAAAGTCTTTTCAATTTATATGCAGTCTCACTATATTCATATGCAGTCTCACTACTGATTACCTGAAGCTTTACACAAAGGCATCACGGCTACCTGCTCATAATGGACTACTGAGGCAGACCCTATACTCCCCGAGGAGATTGCATGGCGACGATCGATACGCATCAAATACGTGTAAAATCGGCGATTTTTGTCGCCGATATTGGCGACTCGCTGCGACTGGCGATCGTCCGTCGCCGATATTAGCAACTGGCGATCGCCAATCGCCAATGTTGGCGACTCCACGTTGGATGCGTATCGATTGGACATGTGGTAACTTGTTAGTGATCAATACTTATGAAAGTCGCGATACTGGCGATTGGCGATCGCCAATCGTAGCGATTTGGGATCGCCAGTTTTGGCGAATACACGTTGGATAGGTATTGATTGGACATGTAAACTCATGCCAGCAATCGATAGCTATCTAATCTACAGTCGCCAATTTTAGCACTGGCGATCACCAGTCGTAGCGACTTGGATAGCCAATCGTAGCGATTGGCGATCGCCTGTCACCATGCTATACTCCTCGAGGAGTATAGCGCTTGCCTGAGAATAATTGAAGAATGAATGGTATTTTTAGAGGAGCGAGCTAACAGGGGATACACTTTTTGGAGAACTATATACAGGGTGCGGCAAAAGTCTGGGAGCCTAGTACTTTTTCGTACAAAACGAGAAGGAAAGTACCTAGAAACGAAAATTTTGGCGCACACATAATTCGAACCATTGCAGATACAGCCCAGTTCTTGAATTGCGAAACTGCCTCTTTTGGCCTCCACACAGCCCTACAAAATCTTGGCAAGTTCACCTGTCATGGCATGCAGGTAGTCCTAATGGAATTCGCCCCACACTTTCACAATAACTGCTTCTTTTAACTTGGCAAATGCGCAGCTGATAGAGCAAACTTTTGTCTACAAAATACTTTCAAAAGAATTTTTTGAATTGCTTAGGAATAAAAATATTGGATTTTCAATTAGAAGCATGTGTACGTGGCATACCGGAATTTTGGCTACAATTGCGCGAATAAAAGCTTAGAAATATCGTTCAAAAAGAAAAGTGTTTCCATGGCCGAATTTCAATAGATTCTAATTTAGAAGACGTATGCAAAAAATACAGCCTTGGTCCCAGTGCTTGTTGAGCATTCTATAGCTTTTAAACTTGTTCCGAAGAAAGATTTCCACTGGCACGTAGGTAACATTCGCAAACTTTTATTTTCCGTTCATGCAAGAACAGCTCCTGGCAAAAGCAGAACTAGGATACAATAGCGCAAAGCCTCTTCTGTATTGTGTGCATCGAAGTGTCGTAGAATACTAACAGCATTTCTAGATATAGCAAAAATTGCAAATACCAAAAATTCTGGTTTTTTCGCTTTGCAAAAGTACTAGTTTGGTAATTTCCATTCTTACAAAAATATATGGCAGCCATTTCCAGCCAAATAAAGTGTATTCTGTAGAGGATAAATGCAGCATCATGTGGCATAAAATTGAAATCAAAACCATCAGTATCTTTGTAATTGCAATACTGCAAAGTTAGGCGCCCAGACTTTTGCTGCACCCTGTATTTCGATGTGGACGACTAAATCGAGAAAAACATCAGGGTGAGCTTTACTTTGTTGTGCAGTTCACGAGCTTTTTTACCATATTCCTGGTCCAAGAACATACTGCAATTAGTAGTGTTGTTTTTAGGCCTTCTTCGAGTATGATATGAGACATAGAACAGAGAATGCTTTGCAAAATAATCGGTTACACAGATGGAAGGAAAATCGACTGTTATTTTGAAAACTCAAAAATTATCGGCCCAAGAGAGCTTACACCAATACCAAAACGTCAATAATTTCTGATCATTGAAGGAGTATGGAAGAAGTAAAAAAAATAAAACAAAAGAGGTAAGCATTGATTGCATGTTTCATATCACGAAGTTTTCTGATTTATAATGCTCCGTTAAGGCCTATATCGAGCGGTTTTCTTGGGAGGTCTTCAGTCAATTTTTATGACTTGTTTTACTGCACACATGAGTCATGGACCGGATATTACATCGAAACTTTCCGTACGCCGAAAAAATTTGCTCAGAATTTCGAACATGCATGGATAAAGCACATACTTCTTGAGGCCAAAGTTCTCACTGCAACTGTTTCACTGGAATTCTTGGCAAGAATAAGAGTTCATTTATTTCTCAAAATTCAAGAAACTGCTGAAGCATCCTTGCGGTTACCATTACCTGAAATGTGACCAAGAATGTAGATTTTCATCATGCTTCAACATTTGTTGGCAAAATGTTGTGGATATGTTCCAGATGTATGGGAGAGAAAACAAAGGCATTAGTTATGTACAAATTCTATTATAGATAATGGACAAAAAGGTTTCAGTCCAAGGTACCTTCATTCCAACTGTGAACTACCTCAAAAGACCGCCTTCTTTCTTTTGCCTATATTTTAATTTACTGAACCAAATTCTCCTTTAGTTGAAATTGGTTTGATTCATATTATGAACAGAATTGCGTTCAAGTGCATTTATTTGCTTGTACAAAAACGCTTCAGAGGACCAGCATAATCACATACTCAAATCCATGACATCAATCTTAGAGGTCCTGGAATGCCGAGTCCATCGTAGAGTGCTTGAAGCACTTGGAGTTGTGGAATTCCTTGGAGTATTCGCATTGCATAGGGAGGAATCCTCGACGGTGGAGATTCAGCTCCCTTGAACTGGGGTTTTACGGAAGTAGAGCTCCCCTGCGTAATTTTCCCTTTCATTTTCTCTTCTCTTTGGAGAATTTTCCGAAATTCTTCTATTCTGATATCTTTTCTTGGGAAACTTGAAATAACTCCCCCACATTCTAGTGGTTTTCCTTCATCTTGTTTATCAAGAGAATTGGAATCGCTTCTTTTTTTAATGTGTTTTGATGTCATTTCTATCTTCGGTCTATAGATGCGATTAGCTATGGAGTCATAGACACCTCTTTGAAAGAGGTTTTGAGGTTTTTCTGGCAATAATCTCGACGCTTGTGTCCGCCTGCAAAAAAAAATCACTTAATCCTGGATATGAGGTTTTAGAGGAGATAATTGATTGCCTTTGCAGGTTTTCTATGAGTTTCTCGGTCCTTCCCTGTGAGTGGTCCATTCGTATGAGTATCAGAAGTATGACAACAATCTGCATCGTTGTTCCTTTCAAAGTGTTGATGCTTTCATCGAATTTTCACCAACTAAAATCATGGCGAAGTCACTAATCTTCAAAGGATGTAGGAGTTGATAGGTAGCAAAGGAGGAATAAGGAATGGGAAAACAAATGCGGAAGCTAGGTTTTGCTAGGTTTTGGACATATGAAGGAAACGTGAGTGAACGCGAACTCTTTGCATTACGAATTCGGTATACTTGATGCCACCTCCATAATCCGTAGTATGTATTGAGGAAACAAACTAGGTTTTTCCTTTTTCATCAAAAATCGGCTAGCTTTACTTGGTAAACATGTTTTCTGTAAGATTTGTTCTTCGCAGGTATAAATATAATTCGCAGGTATCTACCTTACCCTCCCTCTCACTTGCACTTTCCCAAGTAAAGTTCAAAATCATGAAAATAAAACTAATTATCTATACAAGTTCTCCTGTTTTCCTTCACTAAATGCTATGACCGTGAGAAACCACATAGAAGAGTGCAAGTCCGATGTCTGCAAGGCTTACCCCTTTTTGCTTTCCCACCTCTATGCCCCGCTATGATTTAATCAGCATAAACTCTTCCGTATAGCCAAGATCACAATCATTCTTCTTCACAAAGAGTCGAACTTGCACTGAGTGGGAAAATAACTTCATGGATGTTCAGAGTAAAAAAAGATTAAGGAAATATTTCGAAACACAGTGACGATCAAGCACCACACAAGCGCTTTCATATTTTAAGGAACCAGAAGATGCAATTCAGTAAGCTCAGAATCATAAGAATACATCGAATTTCTAAATTTGCAATTCTGAAGCGCTCATCAGAATAACAATAGTGTTATCCTTGGTGATTTCGGTCTTAGAATGCTTGTGTATCACTCCAAGAGGAACTTGGCCAATCACTTCTTTGCCGGAAACGAGCTCAATTGCATTGGTTCGCCTTATAAAGAGTCGCCACAGAGTTTCTATCTTCATGTTTCGACTTTTCCGCCTTCATCAACATGGTCTTTTGTTATGACTACAATCTGCACTGATCCAGCTCCTTTTACCTGGTGTCATTACCTTTCGATTTAAGTTCTTCGGTGTTTTCAGCAATCTGTTTTTTTTATCGGCTCCCTTCCCATCCTTCCGTTTTCGACATCATCATGCTCCTTGTCAAGGAAGAGAGGAAAGTTCCTTGCAGTGTAGTAGCGTTTCCTCTTTGCCGTTGGTTCCTCAGGTAAGTGAGAGGCTTAGGGCCCGTGCGGCACACATTGCCAAATGCTCATAATGAAATACGATTAATCTGCCTATAGTGTTAGGGCGATCTGGAACTGAAATACCACATTTTGTAATTTGAAATTCTGCGAATTCCAGAGAAGGGAGCTGGATGGAGACATTTAGACATTTAGCAAGACGTTCTAGGTCCATCGATGCTCCAAAATGAAGCTAGCGGTGGCAAATCTGCTTTGTAGAAAAAGCTACCGTTCCATTACCAGTGGTACTTTTCTGTGCGATACCTTAAAGCTATATCTACCTGCATTGTTTCAGCTATGATAAAATTACTGTGAGTACATATTTCTACAAGATATCGTTGAACAAAGGCATAATTGTCTATCTGACAACAAGCCACTTCCCAATTCACAAAACACAATAGAACTTACTGCTGAGTACAGCATATTTGCTAGCAGAAGCTACAGCGTCTATGGTAGCTAAGGCGTACGACCACTTTCATCTTTTTGTATAATATGACCACTATATTGCCAAGGATCATTTAGGCTGTCTTTTTTATATGGCCAAAATTTCGATTTCCATTTAAATGGAGTGAATGTCATATTGTGCATGAAAAGTGTTGTAGAGCCGTCCCTTATATTGGAACTTGCTCGCTCACTGTAGGCTAGGTCGATATGGTCTCTGTAGTTGCGGCGTACCCGCTATACTTGGGGAAATTCGAAATTTTTTTCGAATATTCGAATATCGAATATATTCGAAAATCGAAAATTTCGAATATTCGAATATCGAATAATATTCGAAAATCGAAATTCTCGAATATTCGACTATCGAATATTATTCAAAAACTAGCTGGCTTGCCCGGCTCCGCCGGGCCTGCCAGCTAGACCCGTGTACGTATGTTCCGAATAGAAATTTTTATCTCTGAACCGATTGGGACCGAACTTTGCACACATACACTTCGGGGCAGGGAGCGTGTCACAGCCCACTTTTCGTTATCGATCGATGTCGATTTTACCGATTTTTTGCAAAATTTGAGCTAGGGGGCTAGGATTTTGCACAGGGGGGTAATCGAGCATGCTGATCACCCCTTCGGGGTGATCAGCATGCTCGATTACCCCCCTCTGCCAAATCCCAGCCCTCTAGCTCGAATTTTGCAAAAAATCAATAAAATCGATATCGATCGATAACGAAAAGTAGCCTATGACACGCTCCCTGCCCTGAAGTATATGTGTGCCAAGTTTGGTCCCGATCGGTTCAGAAATAAAAATTTGTATTCGGAACATACGTACATACATACAGACAGACAGACATACAGACAGACATACAGACAGACAGACAAACAGACATTCAGCTTTATATATAAGATTGAAAATTTCGAATATTCGACTTTCGAATATTATTCGGAAATCGGAAGTTTCGAATATTCGACTATCGAATATTATTCGAAAATGAAAATTTCGAATCGAGTAATCGAAATTCGAATATCGAATATCATTCGATATTCGAATTTCGAATATTATTCGGTTCTCGAATGTTATTCGGTTTTCGAATATCATTCGATTTTCGGATACTGATCGAATGATTTACGTCATTGAGACTGCCTATGAAAGTCCAAAACATCCAAGAATAATTTCCATGTTCCGTAATCATTAAACCTGGGCATGTTCGTAAGTATCGAATATTGTTGTGCCGAACAGGTTGTTAGGTGGTCCTTTTATTGTCAATACTCTTCGGCCTTACGTTTCGACGCTTTCGTCTTCATCAGAGGCCAGGGAACCACCGCTTCGTTAGATGTCCGTACCGGATGTAGATGTTCGTCGTCGAAGTTAGAGTCGTCCGTCGCGAACATCTACATCCAGTACGGACATCTAACGAAGCGGTGGTTCCCTGGCCTCTGATGAAGACGAAAGCGTCGAAACGTAAGGCCGAAGAGTATTGACAATAAAACCACCTAACAACCTGTTCGGCACAACAATATTCGACACATCCAAGAATAAGTTGTTACATGTAAGTTTTAAGAATGGACACTTTCTTATGTTACAATTTACGATGGAAAAAGGTTTAGTCGTGACGTGAAGAGACATAGGAACCTAAAGGCTACTCCTGTGACGGTTGTGAAGAGATTCTTCGTGCTTCAAAGAAGATTATATACCCTCACTGAAAGTTGCGATTGGATATACAGCGGCCCCAACATATGTAGATCGGTGACATCAATTTAGAGTATGGGGCGATTTATCAATCGCATTTCACTGTTGTAAAATTACCGTAAGATTGGCGGGTTTCAAAACATCAAGAGCCATTTCTCCAAAAAAAGAATCAAAAGGGCCGAAAGTGTTGCATTAGACTTCTAAAAAGACTCGCTTTATGTAGAATTTGCACTCAACCGTAATGCTTTTTTCAAAAATTACGCCAGGTACACCGGTGTTATGCAAAGCCTTTCAAAAATGTGGTTGCCATTTGAAAAGCCTGAAAACTCGTGCGTAGTAAAACTAGCATACGTAAAAACCTGCTGCACAGATCTTAGATTCCTTTTTTGGGGACAATTTTTTGGATGTCTTATTTTGCAGTTGGTCTATATGCTGGAATTTCCTACCGTGATAACACACAACAAGAAAAACATGGCTGATTCGCTTTGTGCTGCATTTATAAGCTGAAGCCATCCCTACTGAATGTTACCCAAAAATTGGCAAAAGACTTTGAGAGGTATTGGCGATTAAACGGTGTGTACATACTTTTAAGACACCCCGTATACGCTATGCATATCGAATTTTCGAATATTCGGTGCTTATCGAATTTTCGAATAGTCATTTCTTATCGAATTTCCGAATATTCGGTGCTCAACGAATGTTCGAATAACTGATGGACACCGAATGATCGAATGAATGACCCTCGAATATTCGACTATCGAATAATATTCGAAAGTTAAGATTTTCGAATATTCGACTTTTGAATAATATTCGAAAATGAAGATTTTCGAATATTCGAATATCGAATATATTCGAAAACTGAAAATTTCGAATATTCGACTTTCGAATTTTATTCGAAATCTCGGATTTTCGAATATTCGACTTTTCGAATCATTCGCATTCGAATGATTTATTCGAATGATCGAATGATTATTCGATTCGGTCCCAAGTATAGTACCCGCCGCACTTTGATATATTTGTGTGTTGTTATGGAACTATTCCTAGTGAACCCTCGGCATGTACGCCGATAGGCAGAGGGGGAACTCTTGTGTTTTTTCTAATAAATCGTCAACGACTCAACGCGTTCTACTACAACTGGCGATCAGGATCAAGGACAAGAAGACCTCCACCGACCAAGGACCAGAAGAAGCTCGACCGACAAGGACCAGAAGAAGCTCGATCGACAAGGACCAGAAGAAGCTCGATCGACAAGGACCGGAAGCCTCCATTGTCCAAGGAGAAGACGCGTTGCAGCTCGAATCGAGGAAGAAGCTGTCAGTGGTCGAGGACAGCCAGACAAGTAAGCTTTGCTGAGAAGCTTATCGATTTAGCAGAAGACTTCGTCGACACCAGAGAGGTCTACCATGCCGAAAGCCAGGAAGAGCGGCATGGCGACTCTTTGGAGAAGGTCCTGTCGGTCATGGTCGACCAGATGCGGCTCCAACAGGAGGAGATGAAGCTGCATATGCAGCTTCAACAGGGACAGATGCAGGCCCGACTACAAGCTCAACAGGAGCATATGCAAGCACAATGGAAAGCTCAGCAGGAGCAAATGCAAATGCAGTCGCAAGCTCTGCAGGAGCATATGCAAGTACAATTGCAAGCTCAAC